CCGAGGGAGGTCAACAGGGATCACTGACTGTTTTAGGAGCTTTTTGAGATCAAATAGAAGAAAATACAAAACATTAAACATGTTAACAACACAAAAGCCATATTAAACGCAGACTACTTTAGGCCCGGAAGTAGGATTCGTCACGTCATCACTTAACGACCGGATAGTGGCATTGTAAAGCGCTTTGGGTGCCTTGCCTATATAGCGCTGTGAAAAGCGCTATATAAATCCAATCCATTATTCTCAGGTAGGATGGCCTGCTTTGGAAAGTCTGAGGAACTCTCATCTATACAGTTTTATATATAAGGTGATACTTGGGTTGCTGCCTTCTTATATACGTTCCCTGCTTGCAATGAAACATGCTGGTTGGTATTCTCTTCGTCCGCATGGTTACTTGTTGCTTTCTGTTCCATTTGCCCGAACTGAATTTGGTAAAAGAGCTTTTGTTTGTTTAGCACCCTTGGCTTGGAACAAACTGCAGAAAGAATGGAAAATGACTGAATTCATTTCATTAATTGTTTTTAAATCTAAATTACGAATCCTTGAGGACAAGCCCATAACATGCAACTGTTTCAATTATATCAATTTGTTATTTTAACTGATTTTTAAATTTTTTATTAGAATTTTATTGAATTTTAATTAATTCATTCATTATTTTTTTCATTTATGTTTGCATGTGTGTTGTTGCTGCCTGTGTTTAATTGAGTAATTTCTGTAACTGTGAGACACTTGCTGCTGCTCTTGGCCAGGTCTCCCTTGAAAAAGAGATTTTTAATCTCAGTGGGATCTTCCTGGTTAAATAAAGGTTAATAAAATAAATAAATAAATAAACTTGAAATGGGAGAGAATACGATTATAATAATATGGGAAAGAAAACTGAAACCGTATAGGTAATAGATAGAGGGTGACTGTGTAACCTGTGTCACGTGGAGTCATTCCGTGAGACGCTTATTAACCAGAATCACCAGCAGAGGGAAGGCGAGGAAACCGGAACCGATGTTCCGCTAAACAGAAAAACGTTTCCGTGCTCAGTCTTTACATGATTTGAGCAAAAAAATAAAATAAAACTGCATGTAGAGCTATATTAACCAGATTTTGTTGACGAGCTATTATGAGTCAGGATGGCCGAGCGGTCTAAGGCGCTGCGTTCAGGTCGCAGTCTCCCCTGGAGGCGTGGGTTCGAATCCCACTTCTGACATCACCTTTTTGTTTGATTGTTACTTCTAAAAATGTTTTACATGTTTAAAACTGTTTCCACACGCTCAAAATCGATGTTCACTACACCACAAACACTATAATACATAAATATTCAAATAGATGGCATGTCTCCCAGGGAGAGGAAAAGAATTTCAATAATTAATTAATAAAATTTAGTTAACATAAATTTATGGAGATTTTGTTTCTCATTATATCATCAGTGAGAAAAATATTTCTGGCTTTAATGTTTTTTTCTTTGCTTCTTGTTTTGGTCTATTTATGCAGTAATTCTTTAATAGTTGCAAAGAATTAAAATTATTTCTTTTTAATATCTCCATATTTTTCAGTGTATTCCGACTGTTTAATCTTTCAAGCTACGGTCTTTATGAACAGCACAGCAAATAATAAAGAAAGCGACAGAAGAAAAAGCAAACAAAGTATGCTGCAATTTTCAAAAGTCACAAAAATCCTCCTTAACTTTTTTGAGTTAAACATTAAAACATTCACAGCATCCATCCATATGTGTTATTGATTAAACTAAGGAATGTAGCGTTGTGTCATCCCTTCTTATCAGTCCACAGGGGAAGAACAAACATGTGCGAGCTCCACGCCTAGAGGGCACCACCAGCTTGTGTTGTTTTTTCCTCCCTCCTCCCGGAGTTCAAACACATTAGTGACTGAAGCGCCGCAGGTGAGCAGCCTGCAGGAGCATATGGGAGGTGCCAGGGGAGCAAAAGAGAGCAACCCAAAGCAGATGGGGAGAAGATGACGACGCACTCAATATGTGTGTGGGTGTGTCGGAGGGAAAAGGAGAAGGCAATGTGTAGAGAGACTCACACCGCCTCCACCATTACACACCTGTCAGAGCAGGTGGAGACACTGACAGCTGATACCTGAACCTGGAGGTCTGGCTGGAGGGCTCCTCTTTAACTCAGTGGAGGGTTTTTGTTTCTTTTTTATTTATTTTTTCATTTTTGAAGGCGTCGGGTTTTGAATGATTCTGTTTTGTCATATTTTTTATTTTTCTTGACTATTTGAAGATTGAGATTTGCTGGTGCCTCCAGTCAACGTAGGGATTCGATTTTTCATCAAAACCTTTTATTGAGAACACTTAAGGACTCTATTATTGTGGCACCTGCGTCTGTGAGAGCTCAGTCATGGCAGACTTCCCGTCCAAAGTTACCACAGAGACCAGCGTCCCTAACTCCCAGAACTCCCACGGTGGGAACAGCATCCGAGGGCTGCCTGGAAGCATATCCTCCAGGGTGGACTTTTCATTTATCCGAAGCATCCCAGCTATGCTGATGATCGCTGAAATTGTATGTAACCAACTAAATGATTACTCTTCTATCTGTCCTGCACTCTGCTCTGTTTAGTGGGAGGGATGCCTACTCTACGTATTTTATGTTCTGAAACCTCTTGCACTATAAACCAGCAGGGCATCGGTCCATCTTAGCCATTGTGACTTTTGACGGACAGAAACATAAAAATATTTAGTGTTCGAACACAATTTTCACACTGAAGATACAAAAGTAAGTTCCTAAAACAGCCTGTAACTGTAGTTTTTAATAAACAACAACAGCTAATTTAACATTTTGAGGGGGTTGTTTTCAATTCAACTTTATTTACACAGCGCTAAATCACAGCAACAGTCGCCTCAAGGTGCTTTATATTGTACAGTAGACCCTACAATAATACATACAGAGAAAAACCCAACAATCATATGACCCCCTATGAGCAGCACTTTGGTGACAGTGGGAAGGAAAAACTCCCTTTTAACAGGAAGAAACCTCCGACAGAACCAGGCTCAGGGAGGGGCGGGGCCATCTGCTGCGATTGGTTGAGGTGAGAGAAGGATTTAATGATAAATGATGGTGTGATTTGTTTATGAATGGCCAATTTAAAATGCTTTGGGGTTGTTCAGCATGGAAAAGCTAATCAAGGTGACTCAACCTCTAGAGATGGACACGCCCCTTATTGCTGAAAAGACTTTAAGTGAATTTTAAAACTGCCTTCGATGCTTTATTTTTAAAAGCACTGAAGATTGTTTTTACTTTGAATGTTTGGAGGTTTTTTGAAGAGTGTTGCATTATGAACATGTTGTACGTTACCTCTGGTGGGAGGTGCTGGAAAGGTCCTTTAAATATGATGCTTATTTTCACCTCCCCTTTTATTGTTGTCAAACTCTTTGCTTTACACAAATTATATTTTTAAAATAATCATTAATTATCTTATACTGAAGCTCGGTGAAGCTCCCGTGTGCCTGAGTGGACTATTTCAAGGATATAAGCCTTTAATGACACAATACAAGAGTAGAAAAAGAAACTTGTCAGCGTCGGTTTATGTTCAGCACAGAGCAGCAACCAAACTAACTAGTACTCAAACATCTGCGAGGGAGACTTTTGCTTTCAGAGGTGGTGGAGACCAAAGCAGAATGTCAGACCTCAAACACAACTCCTTACAAGCTTGAGTGCTCCCCTTACAGTATCTGCTTTATAATTTGATAGTATGACGGTGCTGCTGGTTTATGACAGAACTGCGTTTGCTGAGTTGCCAAAAAAAGTCATAAAAGCTTAATAAACAAACACAAGAAGCCCTGAGCTACAGCTGTTTACCCCACATTGCCTGATGTACAGTGAGGCAATATGCACGTCTTATCAACCTTTGGACAGCCTGACCCATTTAAACACCGAAGACCATAAATTCCACTGCAGCAAGAAGTGTAATGATCCTTATGGTGGGCTGAACGCAGCTCAATGCAGCTGCAAAAGACTGAACTCCTGTTCACGTGTTTCTCACCTGGGAAGAAACATTGTGAGCATGGATTAACACCCGTGCCTGTCATTGGCAATTTAAACGTTAAAAAGACTAAATGAAGTGATTTGTCTGAGTTAATGATTAAAGCAAAACGTTATTACTTTTCCGTGCTGTTTTACCCGACCTACTACTACAACACCATGAAATGTCAGCAAAAACTGCACCTAATAAAGCCCGGACAGGTGACACGTTTCACAGTCTGAACATTAACAGGGACGCCGCCGTGCACTGTTGTTCCTGCAGTTTTAGTGCAATGCTGGGGAGATCAGTGGAGTGAGACAGGAGGAGCCAAAGACCTCCGCCACCTCTCAGACGTTAGTCAGCCATGTTTCCTTTGCCTAAAGCCAGTACATACCTGAGGGGGGGGCAGATTGGACCGAGGCTGAGAGCTGCTGTCGTATCACTGTTCACCTTCCCTGGTACTTCACACAATGAGGTTTATCTGGAGAAAAAACTATTTACATAAGCAGACACCTCATTGATTTCATTTTCCAGGCTCTTTCTGATAGTGAAGCATGCAGTCATTTTTATTGTTTATAGATAACCAGGAAGGTTTATGGAGCATAAACGGAAACTTGTTGACACACATTCAAATTCTGTGTCATCTGATTGATGGTGCAGACACACACGTCTTTATCTATGACACCAGCAGTCATAGATAAACGGAAAGAGCTCATCACAGGTTTAACTCACATGACTAATATATAACATAAAGATATTATATTATAATATAAAGTTATCCTGGATTACCTACACTGTATTCCTTCACTGCTGCAAACTTTTGCTGTACCTGGCGTACTCTGTGTATCAGTCCACATCCTGTCTTCCTTCACTCATCAACCGGTCGCAGCAGATGGCCCCGCCCCTCCCTGAGCCTGGTTCTGTCGGAGGTTTCTTCCTGTTAAAAGGGAGTTTTTCCTTCCCACTGTCGCCAAAGTGCTGCTCATAGGGGCTCATATGATTGTTGGGTTTTTCCTCTGTATGTATTATTGTAGGTCGACCTTACAATATAAAGCACCTTGAGGCGACTGCTGCTGTGATTTGGCGCTGTATAAATAAAGTTGAATTGAAAACAACCCCCTCAAAATGTTAAATTAGCTGTTGTTTGACGAGCATTTTTTTTTTTTTTTTTTTTTTTTTTTTTGGATTTTACTTTACCAAACTGACCATCCCAGCCTTGCCGTAATGGTCCATTTGATTCACCTTTTATTGTTTATTTTATTTTCACTTACTGAATACGGGACAGACTTGACTGGGGGAAAGAAGGGGAGAAAGAAAGAGGGAAAGAGAAACAGCTGAGAAGAGGGACGGGGGAGAAGGGCAAAAGACAAAAACCAACAAAACGGGCAGAGGAAAAAAAAAATGCATATATCAATCACCTGGATCACCTGCTGAGAAAGAAAAAAGAAAGCAAGCAGAAGAGAACAAGAGTAATAGAATAAACAACATCACAATGATATATGGGAATATGACAGTAAATACTAAATGTTAAACATTATTGTGCAGCACATAAGATCAACAGAACACAGTGTGCTTTGAGGTAGGAGCCAAAAAGGGTGTAGTTTGTGGGTGTGATCACCCGTGTGTACACCTGTGAGCATGGACGCGCTTGTTTTTTGTTTTTAAAGGTTCCTTCATGTAATGATCTGCTAGAGGGTGTGGGGGGGCCACAGCCCCGTCCTCCAGGGCATGAAGCAGGTATGGAGGAGATCAAAACTCCAGACATCCAGAGGCCCCCAGAACACAAGAGACCAAGGAAGACCAACAGAGGGGCAGCCGCGCCACTGTCCCAGAAAGAGCTGAGGAGAGTCCCAGATGAGGGCTCACTCAGCAGCCGCGGAGCAGAAGCCAGGGGGAGTTGCAGTGACGAGCCCGTGAGCTCCGCCGGCAGCCAGCTGCGCCTGAGTGACCGAGCCCCAGGCCAAGAGGCCGGGGGCACCCCACCCCCGAAGTGGCAATTGACGAGCATTTATTAAAACTGAAACACAGCCTTTCTTCCCAGACGCTGTTTTCACAATGAAAAAACAGAAGTAGTAATGTGAGAGTAAAGTTTGCTGCGGCTGAAACTTTGTGACATCATTGTTTGATATCCATAATGTTTAGCACCACCTTGTTGATTTTCCATCTCCACATCAACAACATCAACATAAAAAAACAAGTTAGTCTCAGCAATGTTTTTGCACACATTTTTAAAAACAAACCTTGGTTTTTTTCATATCTCCATGACTGCATCTTTTCACCTGTCCTTACTCTGAAATTAGCAGAACACGATTAGTCTCCTGTTTCAGGTCTCCAGGTCCTGATGCAGTATTAATATACAACATGCCCTGCACACTCCATTATAAAATGCATTTGCATAATGCATAAACTCCTGCTGCTGTGCTAGAGCACACAGTTTAACTTGACTTTATGGAGCAGAGTTGTCCTCTAATAGGAACCACTTCATCCAGCTCGACACTGTTTTGCTTTTTTGTTTTAAATCAAAGGTGAATACCCTCAGTTTCATTCAAGTTCCTCGCTCATTTTGGTAAACACAGTTTACACAGCAGTGTCACAGCAAACTCCCTGGTCGAACATGTGCATCACAGCTGGACTTTACTGTTTTACTCAGGAAGTTCAAATGATTTCCTCTTCCTTCGGTGCAGAAGAGAAAAGCTCGTTATGATGCAGCCGCTTTGCAAAAGTCTACTTAGGAGAGCGTGCTGTGTATGCATGTGTGTAAAAAGTGAAACCTGACCTGTGCATACATAATGGACTGTCATGTCCTTTCTCATGAGACTGAAGCAGGAAGACATGCATGCAGGGAAAGAGGGACGCCTCGTGTGTTTTGTACAGTACCTGCAAGAGTCGGTCAGACTGACTTTTAAGATCCCCGTGAAAACAGTCTGCCCACCTCAGTGTCACAGACAGTCTGTGGTGCTTATCTGGACATCAGTGACCTCGTCGAGTGCAGTAAACTCAGGTTACGAGATTATTCTAAAGTCTGAGATCTGCTGAGCATCGCAAAGCATTTAACAGCTGTGTTTTCCTCAGAAGTTGATGGTTGAAGAAAGATTACAACAGCCATGTGTACTGTAAATGTTGGTATATATGAATTCTAAGATTTTACTCAAAAATGAACCCATACATAATGGATAGAGTTGCTGGAGGTGATTACGTTGTTCTTGCATGCTCCGTCTAACACAATAACTACTGCTTACCTGTGACTCAGCAGATAGAGCCGGTTATCTACCAATCAGAAGTTCGGTAGTTGCCCCATGTGAATGTTAGCCAAGGTATAGAAATGTCTGTTTAACTGGATGGATTCATCGTAAAAAGCACTTTGTGTCATGTCTGTGTGTAGGCAGGCAGGAAGAGAGGACCCAAAATGCAGGACTCACTGAGGCAGAAGTAATTCAAAACACACAGCTTTATTGCTGGTAAGAAGCAGAACAGAAAAACACTAACTAAACTGGAAGAACGGATAAGTAGGCAGGAAGGCTGGCAAACGGAACACACAGAGGAAGCGAGGGTGAAGAGACGTTAACGATGCGACACCGAGTAGGGGAAGACACAGACACTAAATACAAGAGGTGAACGGAGCGAAGAGGAAACAGCTGGGAGACACGGCTGACGCTGATTACACTGACGAGACAGGGAGAGCACAAAGCTGAACGCACTGACAAAGGACACAGACCTACAAAATAAAACAGGAAGCACACGCCAGACAGAGACAGACTCGTAAACAGGCATAATGACGTCATGGACAAACAGAGGGACATACGGGCAGAGAAGACTAAGCACAGGCAACCTAAACCAAACATAAGGGCAAGATAACAAAACCTAAACCAGAAATAATCATCATCATCATCAGATAACTAAAGAATCAGAATATAATTGTAATCAAAACAGTATCACCAGAGAATAACTAATCCATAATGCAAAAATAAACCAAAACATAAGAAACTCAAAATGCTGGGTCGACCCGACCCAGGACCGTGACACTTTGAACGTTCAGAGTAGAACAGCACTCCATGAGCACCAGTCACCATTTGTTTGTTGTTTAATGTAATAATTGTTTACATAACTTTATTTTTCGTGCCCCCAAACTGATGCACCTGTTGTTTCCTCCCTCTCACCTATTTAGGTTTTTGGGCTGCTCCACTGGGCGCTGATAGCAGGCACCTCTATAGTGGGAGGAGCGTATGGCTGGGTATTGTTTGTCGCCATCACTCTGTGGATCCTCACCACCATCCTCTTCTTCGTCATCCTGTTTGGTGTCACACAAACACTGCCTGCTGTCCCATGGCCCCTGACGGTATGTGAGAGACGGAGGGCAAAGACGAATAAAGTCAAAGAACGTACACAGAGATGTTCCTTGGCAACATTTTATAAACCACCTGTGACTACGGGCATCATTTCAGTGCATTTAACTACTTAAAAGTTGTTACATTAGAAAAACCAGGAAACAAAGAATTAATTGTACCGCAGTTACATTATAATGTGTGTCTCCAGCACAACACACCCTGCACACCTCAAAGTGCAGCATGCTTATGATCGTGGCTCAAGAGTTGGGAGTTCACCTTGTAATCAGAAGGTTGCCGGTTCAAGCCCCGGCTCGGACAGGCTCGGTTGTTGTGTCCTTGGGCAAGGCACTTCACCTACTGGTGTTGGCCAGAGGGGCCGATGGCGCGATATGGCAGCCTGCGTCTTTCTGCCCCAGGGCAGCTGTGGCTACAACTGTAGCTGCCTCCACCAGTGTGTGAATGGGTGGATGACTGGGTGTGTAAAGTGCTTTAGGGACTAGTAAAAGCGCTATACAAATACAGGCCGTTTACCATTTATGTAAAATAGGAAAATTGTTTGATTTATGATTAGTAAATCACTTAAAATTACATTATTTGAATTAATTACAGTGTAATGATTCCTTTGTTTCCTGTAAAACCGCGACTCATTACATCCTCAGTCTACTGTTAATAACTTGAAACATTTGTATGTGACTATAATGACATCATAATTTTAAATAAAATATGTTGAAGTTCAGTCTAATTACAGGGGAATTACACCCTTAGTCACGGGTTGTATTAGAAACAGTTACCGGTTCCTTGATTTTGCAGTTTGGATGTTTGGTCCTCAGTTCTGAGAGACGGTGCATGAACGTCAGCGATACTAATGTGTACTCTCACAGAGCAACAAAAAGGCTGCAGAAACAGCTCAAAGACAGAAAGAGAAAAAGACGAGGATGCGAGGCCACAGAGGGGCACAGTGTGGCAGGAAGACGGCGAGTCATTGTGCATTGATGTAATGTGCGTTTTCTCCATTTGTTTCAGGTGATGGTGTATTTTAGCGCAGCCACAGTCCTCTATCTCACTGCTTTCATCACCAACGCAGCTTATGTGACTCCCTTCCACGGGCTCTATATCTATGGACATTTGGCAGCTGCTGCAGTAAGTCACCACTCACACTATCTCACAAACTAGCCCAATGTCCAGGGAACACAGAACAGCCTTTTATAACGCACTCGGTGTATTTGATTAGGTGTGCCGCTCGCTAGTCCTGTTAGTGCTGGGAACGACCTTTTGCCTTCAGAACAGCTTAATTTCTTCATGGCACAGATTCAACACGATGCTGGAAATACTGATCCGAGTTTTTCGTCCACGCTTTCACAGCATCACAGTTTCTACAGATTCGTCGGCTACACATCCGTGATGAAGGTTTTCCACATCACCAAATCGGAAGGCTTCTCTATTTAATGGAGATGTTGTGACTGTGGAGGCCATTCGAGTACAGTGAACTCACTCTCGTTTCAAGAGGACAGTTTGGGGAACAGATCAGTAGTGTCTGAAATAATTAAACCAGCCTGTCTGACACCAACAATCAAAGGCTGTCTTGGCGAGGCCTACACGCCTAAACACACTGAGTTCTTGCCATGTGATCGACTGTTTAGATATTTGCAATAATGAGCAGCTGAATAGGTGTGCCTTATAAAGTGGCAGGTGACTATGACTTACATTGGCAGAAACATCTCCTTAATCAGTGTGTTTTATAGTTCCTCCTGCAGGTCAAAGTCTGTCCTGGTTTACAGCTTTAGCAGAAGCATTGATCACATGATTACACACACACACACACACACACACACTCTTATCAGAAACTGCCTCTGAGCCACTCCTGTCTAGATTATAGAGGTAAGGTCCCACTAGTACATTGTTTAACCTGCTAAATCACACAGCTGGGCTTGGTATAGATATGAATTCAGAAATATAAACATCACTGTGATTTATGATGGCTGATAAGAATTTCAGACTTTTGCTCAGCTTCCTGGAGTCCCTTCGGCGGTGTAACTGCGTCTCTTCTCATTTTCTTTCGCTGCAGTTCTTTGGTGCTGTGGTGACCTTGGTGTACGCAGCCAGTGCTTTCTTCTCCTACTTGGACTGGAAGGGGGACGGAGGAAACGCCGCCACCAACACAGTGCCGACTTAGGGCTGTGCGGCCAGCGGTGCTGCTCCCAGGAACAAAGCTCACAAAACTCAGATCCTGACTGAGGCAAACCCTGATAATAACCACGAGATGAAATCTGTTCCAGGTGGTTTATTGTTTTAGCCATCCCAGTAACACAGTAAATATACTGTATTACTACTACTATGAAATGTAATAATCCTAGATTGCATTAAAAATACACTTGAATTATTATGTACATAAAGTTATAAATTTCAGTAATAATTGAACAAAATCTGAAAATGTGAGCAGCATTAAAAGAAAAATAAGCACAGGCTGCATGTGCCAACTACAGTGGAGGGTTATTTGGTTAGTCTGCGATCACCAGTGGAAAAACCTGTTAGCTAAGGGAGGACCGCAGATCTCGACCTCCAGCTTTGGGCAGTTCTCTGCTGCATTCTGCATCTACCAACAAGAAGATGAGGATGAAACCGCTGAAAGTTGGCTTCACAGTTTGGGTTTACTGGGCCTAACAGAGCCTTTTAGCAATAAAACCACCCATAATGCACCTGTAAGAAAATAATCATGATGCTGACACACTGACACTGGATATTTCTGCATGATTCAAATATGGATCCACAGGCGTGGAACAGTTTTTGTGTGATTTAAGTGAAAGTCTGCTCCTCTCCTGCTGTACTGTACGTGCCTTTATGAACCACGCGAGTCTTTTTGTACCAAGAGTTTGGACGTTGGTGAAATCCTGCGCTGAGTGCTAGAGCTCAGCTACACACTTCAAATAAACGACTGAGGTTTTTCTTTTGTGCTTATTTGAAAATATCGTTTTGTGTTTGTTTGTTTTACAGACAATCGTAACAACAACAACATTTCACCGGAGAAATAAATATACTTGGAAAATGAAACATTTCTAAACACGTAAAAACAATTTGTACCAAAAACTAACTGCAGACACACACAATCATTTTACATTAAACGTTACTTTGAAAAGTTCGAAACTTAAAGACTGTTAATATAATTTATATGTCCATGAAACATATATTAGTTTTACTTTACTACTTTCTGAAAAAAGAAGCATGTTTGTTTCACAGCACAGGGACAGAAATACTCGACTTCCTGTTTCAAACAGGCCGTTCCAGTAAAAGCTAAACAGAATCACTGCACACGAGTGAAAGCATGAAAATGTGAATTACAGTTGAAGAAATATTAACTTTTCAAGGAGTCACATGCAGTCGAGTGATTGTTAACAGAAAGTGGGCAAAACCTTCAAACTTTCATGGCAAACAGACACAGAGGCTCTTCCACTGACCCCTCTACATAAAACGCAGAGAAAGACAAATATAAATCATCCGTTACAGACGGAAGATTTACGTTAAAAGACTCTGAATCGAACACTTTCATTAAGGCCCTGGAACAATTTTCCAGAGATTCACTGAGATTCATTAAAGTCAGCATGCTTGGAGCCTCCAAGGTTCAGAGATGTGACCACCAGTCCCTGACTCAGGTCTGGACACCGGCCCTCCTTTTCCTAGACACACACAAATACATCCAGCATTAATGTACAGTACCACACACACACACACACACACACACACACACACACACACACGGTTCAAAACTTCATAACAAAGAGCCACGTGTCACAGCTGCCCTGTTATTTAAATGGGGCCACTTTTATAGTTATTCTCCAGCTCACAGAAAACTCACAGCTCTATATTGCAGAAACATCTCCTTGAAAGCCATGAAGTCCGTGAACGTCAGCAACATGTCAAAGATGTCACCTGACACTTCCTCCTTGTGCTGCCTGCAGAGGAAGGAGATAAACTCGTCACTTTTTCAGTGTACTTGTGTGCCACCTTGTGGTCTATTGCAAAATAACATTTCTTACGAGCAACACAACATAACTGACACATGGGCTGCTTTCAGTTCAGGTTCCACTTTGTCACATCTTACATGAGTAACTCTTTAAAGGTGTCCATGCTGAAGCCGGGAATTCTCTCCATCAGCTGCTGCTCCAGGTATTTTTCCAGCAGGTCAACCTAAATAACAGCCAAGATTCTGCTTTAAGTCAACGTATTTGTAAAAACTGAACATCTCTGTATGAGTGTGAGAGTGAAATCTGCCCACACTTACATATTCATTAAAGATGGGTGTGTAGCTGAGCTTGTTCTCATCAGAGTCATCAAACTCACGGTAATGTTTCTCCATGAAAATCTGCTGAATCTGCTGGAAGTCGTCCTCTGAAAGAGAAGCAGTGGACATGTAGAAAGCGCGTCTTCATCACTAACTGGTGGCACTGTCAGTGCACCTACCCATGATGATGTCCTCTATGCAGCCAATAACTCCATCGAAGGCCGTGTCTGCAGCCGAGGAACTGAAGGGAGAGAAGTGAGAGAAATCAGCACAAACTCCACGAGTTCCTGCTCTGTGGTGGATTTTACACAGCAAGAGAAAATCCCAAATGACTCTGAACTTTTGCACCCGTTAAACATGTTTGCTGTACAATCACTCCACCCTGGAAAAAGTGAGAAATCGCTAAAAAGCCCAAAATTACCCTGATATTCATGCATCAAATCTGACTTAAAACAGGACGTCAGCTTCCTGCAGACGGTTAGAAAGCGTTTCACAACAACCCACCTGGAAATAGCAAAGTGCTCCTCGTCCGTATCGAACACGTTTACCATGTTGTCTCCACTACTCCGGATTTCTGAGAAGATAAAGCGAGCACACAGGTGAGCACTGCCCTTCTGCTAACACCTGTAAGATAAAACAGGCAGGTAGCCAGCGCTAACGTTCACAACAAACGCAACATCAGCTCTGAAGCGTGTTTCCGTTACTCGCTCTCATCAGAGTCCCCGCGCGAGCAACGTCAGTTAGCCGAGGCGGCTAATCAAAGACGCACGCGGCGTTAAGTTGCCGCCATTTCTCATAAGTGAAAAAGTTCATTTACAGAAGTGTCGTGACGTGTTTAACTCACCCGGCTCCCTGATGTCCATGTCGGCTAAACTGCTCACTAGCGTACGTAATCCTGTTACCAAGGAAACGAGTGAACTTTGTGCGCCTTCGCGCCCCGTCGGGTAAAACAAAAACTACCGTATATCGGTTCCCACATTCGAAACAAGACCACATTTATCTGGAAGGGAAACAGCTGGTACTACCACTACTAATATTATACATCAAAATGTTCACGAATGTTGCAGATTACACTTGTTTGTTCACCAAATCATTCGCCATGAGGACGATTCACGTTTCTTCCATCAGGCCTGTTACTTTTAAACCGTCACCTACAGACGATCATTAGCCTGTTTTAGCGGAACCAGATGATTGTTGGAGCTTAAAGATGCAAAAAGGAAATACGTGTAACTCAGATGCTGCCTGACGTCCATCAGAAGCGCTGAAAATCGGAGATCATATACTTCTTTTGTTCGTGCCACAAGAGAAGAGTGAATGAAACGGTGGTTCGACCATAACTTTTATTTTAAAGTATCAGTTAAAGTTTTATTATTGCAAATTTAAAATCGAAATCTAAAAGGTCGTATTAATATCGGTAATATTATGTAAAAGTAATTAAAATCATCTTCAGCTGCAGCTGAGGTATTAACGAATCTGTAATTATCCTGTAGCATAACGTATTACATTTAAAGTACTTCATGTACATTTTTATGCCAAATCAGACTTCGTAGGTTATTATCATACCAAGCAGGATTAGGACTTTCCAAAAGGAGTTATTAAAATACAAAATGATGTTTAAACTGTTTTGCTGTGTCACTTTTCCCCTGACACATCTGTCCTGAGTGCATCGGGCTTCATGTGAGCCTGAGACAGTGCCCAGTGTTTTCTGCACTGTAATTCTTTGTGATAAATTACCAACACACCAAGCGACAAAAACATAGCAATAGATCCCTGACTAATATCCAGAGGAGACGGAGATCAGCTGTTACTTAAAGAGTTGCTGTGTGTGTTTAAAAATGTCCACATTTCACAGGCCAGTGGGTAAAATGATCAGTGAGTGTATCAATAGTTTGGTTTTGTAGCAGGAGTCACACAAAAGAATCACATGAACATACATTTATTACAAATGTCACAATCCAGGAAACAATTCTTCAATAAATCACATCTTTGGGAACTCGGGGAGATTTTCCTTTACAGATGTATTAAATACATTCTCTCTCTCTCTCTCTCTCACTCTGTCACACACACACACACACACACACACACACACACACACACACCTCCATGGATAAGGTGCTCCAGGAAAATACAACATAGCAAACAACGACCATACCGGTCTTTTGTAATACCGAGAGATTCTGCTGTTGTCATAAACCGTTCTAGTATCGTGTGAATGATTTTACTGATTTTGTTCATGCAGCATGAAGCGTCAACTCCTTCAGAAACTATAAGAACAGGATAAATGTAAAATTGCTGTCATTTGAAATGCCATTGGGCGTTTTAAAATTGTACAATACAATTTTACTGAATTATGATTTAACGTACGATTAATTTTGTCACCTGTTTCCAAAATACAAACATAATTCAGTCAACCCAGAGATGCTTCAAGTAAAGGATGGACAGAAAGACAAACACAAGGCAAAAGACAAGAAGAGGGAAGATGAAGAAAAGGGAGCAGGAGTTGTACAGAACCTGCGTTTTTACTCAGCCTGAGCACTTCTGACAAACTTTGCTTTTAACACAAGATCACCAGCAGCGCTGTGACGTGCAGCACGTGAACGATCAATCCACATTTCCTCCTGCAATCCACCGCTCAGCTCGTGAGCCAACATCAGCGTTCAGCCTCATTTTAAGTGACCAACTAAAAACTTTTTGTGGACTGAAAAGTGTCAGGTTTGTCATCACAAACCAAAAATCAAACAGCCTCTCAGACAAGCTCGACTCCTGTTCCCCAACTGTTGGCACTAATCAAGTTTTACAGTGTGTGGTGGTGCGAGTACACACTTCCCTTACACTGGTTCTTTAAAATGTGCATTTATAACCGGGAGGAAGAAACCTGACTGCGATCACTTGTATGTGACTTTAATGTAAATTTTAATCCCCACATTCTGTGGTTGCTTTATAAACGAGTAAAGCACAAAAAGGAGGGTCAAATCAATCAGTTCTTATTCAGACAGAAACACGTTATTTCTGCCATTTACTTTCTTTTGTGATTTGCTTTGTAAACTTAATCAGAAAATTGAACTCAAGCGATTAAAGTCAATTAGACAGAGTAGAATCTGAGATTTTAGCCAACAATAGAATGAAAAACCTCCTACTGGGTGATCGATCAGTACAGACGGGAAAGCTGCCCAGGGTTTGAGTGTTGGAGAAAATGAAAATGCTACAGTGAGAACACAATTACTCACGCATCTGTAAGCAAAAAAAGAAAGTAAGACACGTTTCAAGTTTGTACCTTCGGTTTAATACTGTACTACAGGCTGCGTTTTCCTCTGTGACCAAGCCCTGTCACGTCTGCAGACGTGTGCATGACAGCGATGGGGTTAAATAGTAGCAGCCTCAGGACTGAAAGCACAAGTGGGGTCCTCGTGATGGAAAGGTTCTTTGTTTTTAAATAGCTTTACACGGGGCCTGGAGATAGGAACTCGGTTCTGTCTGTAGCCGAGTTACACGGTCTCTGCGCTTTTATTTGGAAAAAAAAAAAAGTAGAAAGTTTTCTTGGCCCAGCTTCT